CTACTCAAAATGTGTGACTAATGAACAAACTCATTGGAGTAGGAAACAATGATGCTGTTTGATCAAGGACCAAAATCGAGTGTTATGGATTTGTTTCAAAGAAGATATGCTCCATCTGTTGTTGTAAGTTATTCTGAAACATTTTTGTGGCGAAACTGTCAGATTTTTTTTTTTTTTTTATCGTTTACTGAAGATTGTGCCAATTTTTGTTTTCTAGATTGGTGTGGGGCTAATGCTTCTGCAACAGTTCTCTGGAAGCTCAGGGATTATGCTTTATGTCGGTAGTGTATTTGATAAAGGAGGTAAATAGAAAAAAACCAAACTCTGTTTCACCATGTAACGATAATTAATCGATTTGTCTTCATTTGTAGTAACAAATTTATATTCTTCCTTTTTTACTTTGACAGGATTTTCAAGCAGCATTGGCTCAATGATTCTCGCAGTGATCATGGTATATATTTGCAAATTAGTTTAATTTATTCTTGAAAAACTCTTGCCATGGACTAACTTATGCTCATGTGTTCTTGTTTGTAGATACCAAAAGCTCTATTAGGTCTGATTTTGGTTGAGAAAATGGGACGAAGACCGCTTCTATTGGTAAAAAATTGTTATCTTTTTTTTTGGTTAAATGTGAAATGAAGCAAAGAAATTTAGCATCTCTTTTTAACGGATGAATGATCTTTAATTTATAGGCTTCTACTGGTGGAATGTGCTTTTCCAGCTTGCTTCTCTCTTTTTCCTTCTGCTTTCGGGTAAAATTCAAAATTCGTTTATACCAAAAAATATAATACAATCTTTGAATTTACTCTGTTATACCTATCATTTCTTGTGACCAAAAAACAAAAAAAAAACGAATCATTTCTAATTTTTTTCCCCTTCTTGGTCAGTCATATGGCATGCTCGATGAGCTCACTCCGGTTTTTACATGTATCGGTGTAGTGGTACGTATAAAGTCATTATTTTGACATGAATAAGCAAGAAAGCAAAGTTGTTGTATAAATTGATCTGATTTTCTTTCACAAAAACAGGGTTTCATCTCTTCATTTGCCGTAGGCATGGGAGGCTTACCATGGATCATAATGTCTGAGGTATAAACCAACTTTAAACTTCTTTAGAAACTCCTCAAAAGCTATATACTATTAAAGAAAAAATGGCTCTAAATTTTATTTACATTTTGATTATGTAGATATTCCCAATGAATGTTAAAGTTTCTGCTGGAACTTTGGTTACTTTATCCAACTGGTCCTTTGGTTGGATTATAGCTTTTGCCTACAACTTTATGCTAGAATGGAACGCATCAGGTATATTCATATATTATATGGTCATTAAACTATTAAAATGAATTAAGTTTCTTTATTATTTTTTTTTGCTAAAAAAATGATTTAAACTTGAATTAGACCCTTTAACTCATTTTTGAAGTATAATATATGTTTTCAGGAACGTTCTTGATCTTCTTTAGTGTATGTGGTGCGGGTATAGTCTTTGTTTATGCGATGGTACCCGAAACTAAAGGAAGAACATTGGAAGAGATACAATCTTCTCTTACAGATTTTCTACAATGAGATTTGATTTTTACCTGAACATACAATAGTTTTTCTATTCAAGTGGTGGAATTTATAGTTTTTGTTGTAATTGTTTCCTCATTTGATGAGAGAGAGGGAATCACTTGGAAAAAACACAAGTTTAGATCCCTCCCTCGCTCTCTCTGTTACTTAGCTACTCCCAATTATGTATAGTATAGTCCAACTTTATTTTGTACACAAAAAGGAAATAATAAAATTTATTTAAGAATTACTGACTTTTTTGCTTTCATTGTAATTTTCAAAATTCAATTAATAAGGTATGCCCTACCCATATAATTCACTTGTTTTGTAAATTTTGTTTATATAACTTTTTTTGAATTGCGAGGTATTTCACTATAAATTATCATTTTTTTACCCTCTTTAAGTTTGATAAAAAAAAAATCAAAGGCTTTGAGAAATGAAGTTTTTTTTTTTGTGCAACTGAAGTTTTCTAATTCCTCACGTAATTTTGCTATAGCTGTGCCATGTGCCAACCACACACTTGTGGGTAGGGCATCTGACTTGCATAACTCATTAAAGATCAAATTCCTTAAAAAGTTTAACGACATCTTACAAGTGGTACCCATCAAGATATCCTTTTAATTTAATCGTATCATATATTATATATTAAAGTATCCTAGTTGACAACTTGCCAAGTATTGTGAAACCGAATCACTTTACAAAGAAGAAATATTTTTATCACAAAGGAACAAATAGAGAATATGGGAACGATCTCATGACAGATGGGTTACATCTTTACTCAATATTTTGGAATGTATAGCTTTTAAATCTTTGGCCAAAATGATCAGTTTTTCCTATTCTTTTTGACATTTTCAATGTTAGCCAATCGTGAAAAAGATCGCCTAACGCGCTTGTGTAGATGTCGGTCACTAGATTATGTCGGTACGTTACTAGTTTAAGTGTGTATATCAGTAAATGTTCATGTATTTGCATGTTGATTGTTGTACAGTCATAAATTTATGGGGATTATCGTCTGACATAGAACTGATTAATTCAAAAGCACATATTTCGCATACTAATCAAATCAAAGCTAGATACTTTGAAAGTTGCATAGTTTGCTAAAAAAAATCAACACAAATAGTGTAAAAATGTGAGATTAGTTATATGACTAGGAGATAAGTTTTGATCCGTTTTGAATTTTGATTCAAATATAAATGGGTCTGTAAAATTTGGGCTTGGAAGCACAATGGTTTCTAGAAGAGGGTTGATAAGAAAAGAAAATGGGGCTTAACAGAAGTTTACGATTGGGGTATAGATTACAAAGCCCCTACAAGTCTTATCGGCTTATTTGTTAGGTGACAAATATGATCTCTCTGATTTCTTATCACATCTCTAAATTGGTGGGCCAAAAATTATCACACAGTAAATCCTTAGAGAATGTTGTTTAGCCAGTGCCTCCACCATTCCATCAGAAGATACATAATGGCCATAAATTGCAGTTGCAGATCACACTACTTATAAGCGTTTCAAATGAGTTCAATAATTAATGCTTTTTTTTTTGGTCGGCAATAGTTAATGCTTCACATCTTAGATGTGGAAGGGACAATTTTGGGCTCTATTAAACTATTACTAAGTCCAATAAAAATGGACGTGTATTACTCTCCTCCTTAGAGGTTGTACTCTATTATCTGAGTAAACAACTAGACTGTCTAAAACCATTTAGGTTGTGCTTTTAAACGTTTCAAACACTAGACGTCCGTTTAAATTGCGGCACAAGTGTTTTAGACACTATTTGCTCTTCTAAATACATATAATAATATCTAGGCAATAAAGAA